TTATATTTTGTGTGTGCCAAGCATAAAGCCCTCCCTGAGTTATTTACCTATAGCGCACGAATTGGCGCGTGGCAGGTCTTTGAATTTATGTTCTTTCTTTTTGGCTGCCCTTTATAGAGGCATGGCCTCTCTTCAAACTCAATTGAAGAATGGTGCATCTCCCACTGGCAGTGGACCTCTTTGGTTCACTCAACTGTGGTTGAGATCATATTTTCCATTGCTTGGTGCTCCATCAATTTCTCGCTCCTCTGCTAGCTGTTATGGGCTAGCCATGGAGCCCTTGGCTCCTGTAAATATGTCCAGAAGGGAATTTTTTCATTCTTTTATTCTTTGGATTCAATCTCTTCCTTTTTTCCTTTTCCTCATTTTTTGACTCCAAACTATGTACATCCCCCCTCCACTATAGACAGTGCGAGCACCTCCCTGCTTATTTGGATCCAGTTTTTAACCAGGAGGGAGCTATTTCATGATATTTTAACTGGGACCAATGCCAAGGCGGGGGTAGAAATTTATGCTCCCCAATTTTTTGCTCGCCAGCTTGGTTTCGGCCAAACTTGGCCTGTTCCTCCTTGCTATTCAAGGAACTTAATTGACCGTTTTCATACTATTAATAAGGAGGAGGCAGAGGCTATAAATGCTCACAATCTTCTTTTAACCAGCCATTTTTCATTAGCCCCCTTCAATTCTAGCCACGCTATTCACCCTCTTTTTGAATAGCTCTGGCCGTCAGTGAAGTGCAGATTATTTGCGATTGACGCCAATCGTGCCTTTCATTCACTAGATCAGCCGAGCATTTCTTCCCCTCCTCCTGTTTTAGTCACTCCTTTGTCCGTTCGGAGTCCTTCTCCTTCTTGTTGCACTAAACAGTGTGCTCGTCCATCTTCTTCTCTCCCTGCCAAGCCTACTACAGCCAAGAGTGCCCCAAGCCGCAAACGGCCAGCCTCAGCATCTCCCATTCTGGAGGATGATGTTGATGATGATGATGATGCCCCTCTTATCGTCAGGAGGAAGGTAATTAAATTGGTTTACTCACAAGCATACTTTTCCATACTTGAAACTTTTCTGTGTGCTGATGATCTTTTGGACTTCTCAGAAAAGCTCAGCCTCTCCTTCAAAGGCTTTGGCATCGACAGCTCCTGCTCCATCATCCTCCGCTGAGGCTGCTTCATCCAAACCGGTTGATGAGGGGGCTACGCTTAAAGAGACATCTTCAGTCCCAGAGTCCTCATCACAACCCATGGATGAACCACCTTCTTCCCAGGGCGTCAACCCCCCAAACATCGAAGCAGAAGGTAATTCAGTCTTTTGATGTCTTACCTTTGCTTGTGCTGTTGGTTTCTGATTTGTTGCTCTTGAGTTTTGCAGATACTCCTATGAGTCCGCCCGTTGTGGCAACATCTTCTCGCTTAGACAAGGGGAAGTCCTCATGAATGGAGGAGTCGTTGGTGGCAGACTTGGCTGAGGACATGCCATCTTCCACGACTGTTGATGAGGTAATCTTTGCTTCACTTTTATTTCTATCTTGTTCGTTGTAGTGAGAATCTTTAATATTGGCAACTTTCTTTACAGGATGCTGACAAGATTGTGCGTTCTATCCAAAACTTGTTCGCTTCCTGGGGGCAAGTCCAGACGTCTCGCCTTGCTCCATCTGATCGTCCTGCTGCTTCTTCAGAGGAAGATTTGAAGTTCCTCAAGGAGTCGATATTTGAGTACGTGTCCTTCATGGATATGGACATTGGAAGGGCTAATGCTGCCAGACACAAGGATAAACTTGAGCATTTGAATGCGATGTTAGAGCAAGCACTGACGCTTCCGTCGCTCAATCTTTCTGCCGATTTTAAAGCGACGTTGAAGGTTATCCACTCCGAGGTCCTTTCTTTGCTGGCCAAGAATGCTGAACTAAAGGCCAAAAGTACTCAATATCTTCGAGCCGTATCTAAGAAAGAGTCTTTGCGTATGGAGATCAACAAGGCTGAGGACGAGTTGAAAGAAATCTCTTCCGAAGTCATAGTTGAAGACTCTTTGATGGTTAATTTGGCTGCTCAGATGAAGGAACTTCAAGCCAAAATGGACGACTGCAGGGCGAGAATGGCTGCTAAAAAGCGCAACGCCTCCCAAGGAATTGAGCGAACTAAGTCCTTGGTTGAGCAGTATAAGAAGTTGGAAGTTGACGATGATGTCATGGCCGAATTGAACATCACTTCCTCTCGGCAGAACGAGGATTGGGAAAAACTTAGGGAACGAATTCGTTCAGTATGAGGTGGACTGTAATTAAGACATATGATGCCTTTTTCTTTTTGTAATTTGATTTTCCCTTTGTAACTTTGTTCATCATTAATGAACATTAACTTCTTGTACATTTATTTGACGTTTTTTTTAGTCGTCAATTCTTCAAGCATTTAACTGCTTCGTGCTAAAAATCTTGCCCATTTGCTTTTGATATTTCCACCACTTTTTCTAAGACTTTAGGCTATTTAATTCCATTTACTAGGCAGAAATGTGGTTGTTCAT